CCAGCCGCTGCGAGGGCCGGGGTCTTAGGAGCCAGTCGGCATAAGCACAAGCGCCCGGCCGTGTGCGTGGCTCCCGCGGGCCCCAGGTTGTGAGGAGGGTCCCCTCCCGCTTGGGAAGCCAGGAGAGTGAAGAACGGAATTGTTTGCCTTTCATTGTCACCCGGCCAGTAAAGTGGAGGGGGTTTGACCTCGACATCCCTCTCCCCGGGTCAGTCCTGGCTGGTGTGGGGTCGGTGTGGGGCGTCCCGGGAGGTGGCGGGCGTGGAGGTGTGTGGGGCCCCAATCACACGAGTCGGGGCCGGACGCCCAGCTCGGGGTTCGGGTGACAGGCTGACCTGGTGAAACTGCCCGTGAGGGAGGCAGACTGTCCACTCAGCACGGAGCAGTGAGCTCGGTGGCCAGGATGCCAGCCGTCCAGCTCCCAGGACAGGCGGGCGCCACGGGCTCTGAGAACAGAAGTAATGACGGGCACAGGGCGAGGTGGGGTGGGCACGGGTGCGTGAGCTGGTGTATGTCCCTGGGGGAGGGAGCTCAGGGGGTCGGGGCCTTTCTCTGCTGGAGCCCTGGGCGCCCGCACTGCTGGGGGCTGTCTCCTGGCATGAGGCTCTCCTGGGCCCTGGGTCAGAAAGGTGTGTGGACGTTTTGCTTAGAAAAGACATTTCCTCGCTCGGAGGCGAGGGGCGTGGTCATAAGAGGCCTCCCTCCCTCGGTTTCTCTGGCTTCGGGAGTGAGGAGACGAGTGAGGACGTTTGTTCGGGAAGAACAAGGGCACCAGGACCGTCCTCTGCTGTATTTGCAGGTCTGGGGAGTGAAATACAATGGGAACGGCTCCAAGATCGTGTCCGTTGGGGACGATCAGGAAATTCACGTCTACGACTGCCCCGTCTGACCGTCTTCCCCGAAGGACTGAATTTCACATCCCTGCCTTTTAGCTGAAGGCACAGCCTCTGTGCTGGCCGCGCCCTCGCTGTGTAGACACCACATAAATATTTTCACGTTTTATTGGAGGTGCTGTTCCTGCCTTAACGTAAAGCGTTGTTCCTGCCCACGCCCGCCTCTGGGACACCCTCCTTCTCCGGGTGCCCCGTAGCGGGCAGAGAGGGAGGTGGCAGCGTGTGCCTGAGGCAGGCCCGGGATCCTCCTCCCTGGGGCCCAGGTCGGGTCTGCAGGAGCTGGGGAGGGAGCGGATCCACCCAGAAGGGGCCCTGGAGGAAATGGGTGTCGGCTGGGGGGACGCCCTGCAGGCCTTCCCGTCGGGCAGCCTTCTCCTTGCTGTGAGGGCCCGGCCACTGCCTCGCTGCTGGGCACCGCTGCCTCCATGTCCAGGCCCCGCCCGCCTCCCGGGCACCTGTCCCCAAGGCTGCGTGTCTGCAAGTGAACACAGGCAGACATTGAGCTTGTCCTCTCGATCGTAACCCGACCTGACGTTCCGGGTCAGTCCTGTGCCCCACCCCCCTCCTGCTCACCCTGTGACCCCCCAGCCCCCCTCCTGCTCACTCGCCCTGTGACCCCACAGCCCCTCTCCTCGGCCCGGAGGCTCCTCCCTCCGATGCGTCCAGGGAGCTGCTCGGTGGCCAAGGCCGGGACGAGGCTTGCCCACTCCCGCCCTCCAGTGACCCCCCTTCTGGGGGCGTTGCCCCCAGATGGAGGCGCCATGAGTGGAACTCACTCCGTGGCACCCACCCGGGAGGCAGGCTGCACGGAACGTGCTCCCCTGAGGCCCGGAAAGGAAAGCCACAGCCACGTGTCTCCTGCAGCCCAGCTTCAGTGGTGATGCGACAGGTCCAGGTGGGACAGCCCCAGAAACACCCTCCAATCCCATCTCCACGACTGGGCGGAGCGGGCGCCATGCTGCCCGTCGCCGGCCACGCGCCTCCCACAGCGACGCCCTCGGAGGTGACGCCGTGGCCCTCGGCGATGGGTGTCCCCTGGCTGGTGTGGAGACCAGGTCCCGTGTCCGTCCCGACAGCGACCACAGGGCTCAGGGGCCCCTCTGTGTCCACTGCCAGCAAACTGCTCCGCCTGCCGACCGCCCGGAGGGTCCTGGTGGAGCCACTCGCGGTGCCCGTGACCAGGTGAGGGTGGGGGTGCCCAGTGGCCTCTGCTGACCCAGCGGCTTAGAAGGTGGTGTTTCTAGGGACTTCAGGGAGGGAGTGGTCAGTACAGCTAAAGGCGAGGTGACCCTCAGTGTAAGCCTCGTCTACCTGCCAGGAATGAGTTAACGCCCGACGGCCCCCCACAGGCCGCCCCTCGCAGCGGCGCCCACAGGGCAGCGGTCTGGGGGGTCAGTGTGGGCCCCAGACGTCGGTGAGCAGGAGCCCTTCATGGCTGCGCGGGGAGAGGCTGAGTCTGGGAGGATGAGGTGGGAACCCGGCCTCTCCGGACCCTCGGGCCATCCAGGGAGAGGCCGAGCCCTGGGCCTGCCCCGCGTTCTCCCCCGGCCTCGACCCGGGCAGTTCCACCTTCTGACAAGGAAGCACTTCGGTGGGAGAGCATCGCAAACGTCAACAGAAAATCGTCAGAACCACAGACAACAAGGAGCGAGGGCCCGGCCAGCAGCTGCACCCAGTCCCCGCACACGGTGTCCCCGCGAGGCCGGAGGCCAGGCAGCGCCCCGGAGGGGGCCAGACGCACACGCCATCCGTGCTCTCGGGCCCGCAGCCCCAGCTGCCCACGGTGTGCTTTTGTTCTCGATCAGCCGGAACCTGACTCACACGCCCGTTCGCAGCCCGGAGAGCAGGGAGGGGGCGGGGGCTGGGCCGGCCGTATGTGGGGCCGAGTTATGGCAAAGCCACGGCGAGGTCACCGGCACCCCCGGGGGGCCCTGAACGTGTGAACACAGAGTCCGTGTGCAGACTGGAGGAGGTTTACACGTAGAACATTTCAATATAAATTAAGCTATAACTTAGGTCACAACCAAAAGAAAACCCAAAAAGACACAGCCGTGGGGAATGAACACGCATACAGGACGCCGGAGCGAGGCTGCGTTCCCGGGCGCCGTCAGGCCGTCTGGCACTGCACCCCGCCCCGGGGCCCGTCCTCGTCCTCCTCGTAGGCCTCGCGGTGCTGGCGCCAGCTCTGGTCGCTGGGGCTGAACTCCTGCAGCTCCGCCTGCTCCATGTCCTCCGTGACCGTCACCTTCTGCCGTGGGGGCAGCAGGGCCTCCAGCTGGGGCAGCTTGTCCAGGGGGAGCCAGAGCTTCTCCGGGAAGACCACCTGGGCAGGAGGGAGACGGGTGTGGCTTCCTTCCGCTCAGCCCTGCCGTGTCCCAGAGAGCGGGGCGCTGGGCACTTACTAGGAACTGGATCACCAGGCTGCCTCTCTCCAGGGGCGCCTTGTAGATGGGCATTCCCTCGTTGCGCACGCACTTCAGGTCCCCGTGTTTGATCACCTCACCTGCGGGAAAGGCGCGTCAGGAAAGGGCGGAGCTTCTAAACGCTTCTATGTTCACGTCCGAGGTGACTCAACTTCGATGAGTCGAGTCACTAACTCGTGGAGCACAAGCAGCCTTCAGGGCGGAAGCAGCCGCGAGGCCAGGGGTCGGGACCACGCCCGGGCCCACGGTGGCGGGGGCGCTGGCGGCATTACCTGACTTGGACGTAATCACCAGGACGCGGCCGTCCAGGGTGGTTACCGTCTTCTTGAAGCCACAGAGGGCCTCGGAGAGCTGGACTTTCATTTTCAGGACCAGGTCGTGGCCTCGCCTCTGAAAGACACTATGATCCTTCTGATCAAGCACAATTATGACATCACCAGGCTCCAGCTCGGGCTCCTGATCGCCTTCTCCATGAAACAGAATCTTTTGCCCATCCTTCATGCCTAGGGAACAGCACCCTTGCTGGTTAGGCACTCTCCCCTGAGCCGCGCCCGCTCAGCCCCTCAGGCAGTGCCCAGGAGAGCCGCCCGCCCAGGAGAGCCGCCTGCCCAGGAGAGCAGCGCGACACCCACGCGCGCCCCAGGGGAGCCCCCCTCTGGCTCCTAAAATGGTTCCTTCTGCCTCTCGGTGGACGTCGTGTCGATGGAGTCGCCCAGGCGGTGTTCCTTGGCGTTGGGCCTCTTCTGTTACGTGCGTGGGGACCGTTCAGGTCGCTGCTCTGACAGGTTCCTTCTCGCTGTGGGTTCGTGCCCGGCTGTGTGCCCGTATCGCCCGTCAGCGCCCA